CAGCAGTCTATCCTTAATGTAATGCCACTCGGAGGGACCAACAACCTGTCTCTAGGTGGCGGGCGCCAAACTTATCCGGAAGGTACATGAGGACAATGGGGATTGAACCCAAGACCTTAAGAATGCCACTTGCGTGCCTTACCAACCAAGCTAGGCTGTTGGATGCAATCGAATACATGTTTGTGGGCCTCGCTCCTCTACTCTCTTCATCCACAAAAAACAAAAATCATGGCAATGTATCTTTTCATGTTCTAGCAGAAGATTCACTCTCATTTTGCACATTTCGAGAGTTGTGGACAAAGACCCTTTGTTTCGAGAAGAGGGGAGGAAAGAAAAAGAAAGGGGGGGGAAACGCCAGACAACACGTGAAAAGGGGGGCAGCAACATGCAACCTAGAATCTGGCCAGGTAAGTATGTGAGTTTCGTTTTTGCTCTTTTTTTTTTTTTTTTTTTTTTTTTGGGCGACGATCCATTTTTTGCTTTTGGGCAACGACTACACATGATGAGACTTTCCGCAACCAAGCTCCGGACATGATTGCAGTCAGATTTATCGTAAAGGTAAGTTTTTTTTTGTTTTTTTCGTTTTGCCTTTTGAGTATTCACCCCCCTTATTTTTATCCAAGAAATCAGTGACCAAATGGGCACTGTAGGAAGTACCACGAGATGTCAAGGCCTTGTCCCATAACTCACCACATGCACAAAATACGAAAATATGGCGGCGTATGTTTCTGTGTTCTAACGGAAGATTTATTCTCGTTTTGCCCACCTCCATGATCCCCACTACACTCTTTTAAAGGCACGAAACAAAAAGAAAACAGACCAGCAGAATGAATTTGTCCCCTAGTAAGCATGAAAATATACAGGGACTTCTTTCTTGCTTTCGTTCCTCTTCCCAAATCGAGAAACCCTCTCTGCCACGCTTCCCCTCCCCTACTCTCGTTCTTTTTTCCTTCATTCAATGTCTGCAGTAAAACGGTATCTATGAGGTTCAATTCCCTCTCCTCACCCATAGACCTTTTTGCTACTAAATTGCTAGGCTTCCCCATCTCTACTCTTATTCGTTCTTCCTTCATTCAACGTCTGAAGTAAGACGTTAGCTAAGAGGTTCAACTAAACAAACTGGGGTAATGCTTCCTAAAAATTTGTCCTTTATGTGGGGTGGTCAGCCCTATGATATTGATTCTAATGAGTACCAATGCGGTTGTTTAAAAAAAAAAAAAAAAAAAAAAAAAAGGGAGACCCGACCACCGCCTACATCCTCCAAAACCTGGCACAGGTTGCCCCTGCTCCAAGACGTACCATGAACCTTCACCTTACTGGTCTTAGGCGTACGGGTGACCTCACCCTTCCCCGATACCCTGCGACACCCTCCCCCGTTTTCCAACGATCACATTCCCCATACGAAAGGCTATGCTAAACAACAAAATGCAACCATTATAAGCGCAACCTCCTAACTCTAATGAGGGTGCATGACCAGTGGGACGAGGAGGCAAAAGACTGGATCCCAACAGAGACACTTAAGCGAAAGTTGGAAAGGTTGCAATTAATCGTAGAGAGGGCCCAGTAGTTGATCTCGCCTATTCCAGCCCACTTATTCCAACCCACTAGACTGAGCTCCTCAGGAAAAATTCACCAACTTGAAGAGAGGGAGAATGGTACCGCGACAAGACCAATGAAAACGAGTGGTTCACGGTACGAATCCTGAAACAATTGAGCGATGAAACCTAGGCTGTCTAGAAATGGACACGCTCCATCGATCCAAAACACCCCATGCGACTTCAACTGCAAGGGAACATTGTCGTTCACTCAGATCCGGACCTGCAGACTATCTGGGTACTCTTCAACACCATCAGAGGTATCACCTTTTATGAGCTCCTAGGTAAAGGGATACCGTTGAAGCGACTCCGGATGGATCCCCAAGGACATTATCGGGAACCATCGTCAGGGCGCAGTCTTTCTCAATCAATTCCACATAAGTTTGGGTAGAACCCTTCTCTCCAAGAATGAGGATTTTCCCATTGTTGTATCCCTGTCCTTAAACAGACAAGTTGAGCAAACCCACCTGATCACGGAAGGGGAACTCTGAATTCTTTGGATGCAGTTATCAGCGCTAACATCCCAAAAGCTTGCTGGTCTCCTCTAACTCCTCTCACATGCGGCGGTCCCTTGCTCTGTATGATTGTTCGAGAGAGGCGTGAATATCAAAACGAAATGCAAGCGCTACGGTAACAGGGAGGAAGAAACGTTGTCTAAGACCCTATTTGAGAAACAAAAAGAAATAATGGAAAAACCCCTCACAAAGGAGGACATATGAAAAACCTTAATGCAAGGAGAAGAAAACCCATGGAATAGATGGACTACCAAAAAAAGTATGAGAAGCATTGTGAGACACCTTCTCTCAAGATTTAATAGACTATTATCAGGCAGTATGGACTTTCGGGGAAATGGGAGGAGCAGTAGGGCAAAAAAAATTACTATTGCTTTTTAAAGAAAGAACGAAGATAAATATTAGAAACTATCGTCTGATCACCCTGCTCACAGTTGTTTACAAATTGGTATCTACGGCATTTATTGATCGCTTGACTAAAGTAATTACGGATGTCATTCATCCTCTCCAGATAAAATTTATTACAGGCAGGAATACACAAGATAATGCACTATTAATGAATGAACTAGTCAAGTTGACCCGTCACTCTAAGCGTAAGGCGATATTTATTTTCATTGATTTTGAAAAAATATATGATCATGTTGATTCTTTTTAATGCCTTTAAAATTTAAAATTTGGCCCACATTTTAGAAAGTGGGTTGAGGTTCTGTATAAAAATATCACTAACAGAGTAATGGTTAATGACAATGTTGCTCCTCCTATCACGTTGCATAGATCCGTAAGTCAAGGAAATCCTATAGTACCTGTTTTGTTTGTAAGTATTATGGAAGTCTTAGCGACAAACTTGCATCATCATAAAGATATCAAACACATTCAAATTACATCTATCCTTGAGGATACTGTCCTGATCTGCTCTCTCTTTGCTGATGACCTTCCCTTATGGTAGAGGCGTCTCATAAAAACTTAGTGGAAAAAAAAATGATGGACAAGTTTGACTGCTTATCTGACAGGAAAGTTAACTGGGGTAGTAAGGCATTGGGCTGGTGGGTCCATCATCAAGGTGTGAGGCCATCAGAGCATCCTCAGGTTAAATGCGTTTCTCATGATACTTCTATCTAAATGTTAGGGATATCACTCTTAGGTGAAGGAAAGTCAAACTCTAATAATGAGTGAATCACCCAACAAGCCCAAATCAAACTGAGGTTGTGGAAAAACAAACAGTCTTCCTATTTGGAAGAATATTAGTTATTAACAATGTAGTTCTTGCGTCCATCTGTTACAAGTTTGTCATATGGGCAATGAACAAGGAAACGCTCAAAGTTTCTCAACGTAAACTGATAACCTAACCTTTCACCGTTGGATATGAAAGGGAAGGGTGCAGGCTGGACGAGCTTGACTTTACTGATACAATCAAACAACAGGTTCAAACAGAGATTTCAACGAAATGGGAATAAACAAAAGAAAAAATCTAATTTTTATTTTCACAAATATAAAATTTTTAAACATATAAAAAACTTTACCTGTAACTGACTTGGGGGGAACAAGGGAGGAAACTGAAAAAGGTCATGTGGGATGGGGCTTTGCGGGAGGAGGATGAGGAGTTGTGAAGGAACTACAGATTGGTCTTTGAAGACTGGACTACGGTGGACACCTCTATCCCAATGTGCTCATTACTGGACTTTCTAGATCCCTTTCCTCCTACTACTACAACCATAGTCCCAAGATCCTGGTTTGGTTCTACTGATAGGGTGGAGCTTCTTTGAGTGTGCAAAGTAGTGTGTTAGGTAATATTGCAGGTTTTGGCGCCCAACACAGGTGAAGAGGCACGAAACACTAATCATTCCACCGAAAGCTTAGTATCAGCTTACATCCTGCTCAATAAACCCTCCAGTTTCCTCGGGGCCAGTCAATGCTGCCAAGAAAGAGTGCACCTTTTTCTATTGTTCTCATTTCTCAATGTTCCAAAGGGGACGCTGGACCCACTTCAAGTTTCCAGCAGGTGAGGCTCCCCACCAATAGGCTAGAGCAACAGACACTCGTACTAGGGGAGGATGCTCTTATCACCTTCCCTAGTAATGTAGCCTTGTTTTTATTAAAAAAAAAAAAAAAAAAAAAAAGAGGAAACATTAGCACACCTCTTCTGGTCCTGCCCAGCATCCAAACGTATATGGGAATGGTGGGAACGACACTGGTTCCAATTCGTGGGCCCTCCATGACCGCATCCCAAATACGTGGTTCAAACATACTGGGAGGGGTTATGTGGCCCAGGCCATCCGATCCATTGTCATATGGACCATCTGGGAGGATGAGAACAATGTCCTTTTCAAGCAGCAGTGAACGACAGACTCTGCCTTGATCCCAAAAATGAAATCTTGGATCAGCACAATGATTCTCGTTGACTGGCACAGAAAGGCAGCAAGAGGCCGCTCCAACAGAGACAGACACTAGTTCCTAGTTACCTGGGCCAAGGATAACGAACTGGCTGCAGTCAGTCATGGGGGTAAACTGGTCATCTCCCCCTAGCTCCTGACATGGTAGAGCACACGTTCTCCTCTTTTTCCCTGTACCCGCCACCCATCTCATCATCAAAACCCTCGCTCACTTCCTCTTTCTGTTCCCCCCCCTCACCCTTGCCCACCCCCGTCAGCCCCACCGCCCCTCCCCTCCCTCATCCTTTGTCCTTTCCCTCTCACCACATTTTCCCCTCTGTTCCCACCCCTGCAACTCCCCTCCCCCCCCGAATACTCCATGTAGTTAGCAACCCCTAGTTCAGTCTTCCCACGAACCAGGGCACTCGGTTCCTGTCGGCAGTCACAGTAAACTACATCGGGTAGGGTAAAGGGGAGAGTGTCCAGGACTTACACTGATGTTCGGTCCACGTACCCCTTGACAGGGTTAATGGTCCTGAGTGCTGGTCACACTGAGGTAGGATAGTAAAGATAGGGGGTGCGCTAGGAGTACTGACGTGAGCATGGGATGGGAAGGTAGCCTCGTTCCCTTAGGATGACCATGGCTGACTGCTCCTGGCGATCAAGGTGTGCCTAGTAACCAGCCTCTACAACACCCTGGGCTTTAAAAAAAAAACAAGGGGACCCGCCGCGGCTTCGCCCACGGCAGAGTAAGAGGCAGGAGGAAGAAGCAGGAGGCCGAGGCGCGAAGAAGGGAGGGGTGGATGTGAGGGATGTGTCCACAACCCCCATATTCACCCACCGAACCTCCCTCGTCCACGTCTCCATGTCACCTTCCCCCC